AAACATCACATTTCACTTCGTACTACTTTGCACCGAAAGTACGTACAAGGAAACGAGCTCCAAGAAGATATGATGATGGAGGTGTCGTGTCGATATATATGGAAGACGATGTTCCAGACATCTTTTGTCAAATTGGGCGATTGGGTGGGAAATTGAAAGAGGTTTGGTGGTCGAGTGATGAAGACGTCCATAGTGCACGCCTTTATATTCTTCTTAATTGCGAGCATCCATTGATTGCTTATTTTGAAAGGTAAATATATAAACATACACACTTATATATATTTTCAATATTAAATATATAACATAACATATATGATTTTACAGTCAGTTTGAGACTCAAGTCGAGGAAGCAATACCTGGTATATCAACAACTAAGTTAGACAAAAGGAAAGATCAACACTTTATCAAGTGGTTGAGGAAACATGTATTTATTTATTACTTAAATTGTATGCATACATTACCACAAAGTAAGTCTAATGTCTAATTATTTTACTTTTTGTTGCAGGTAGATTATGACGATCCTGAGTATCCCGCATGGTTTCGCGAATTACTTAAAGGTCCAGTTGCAAAGGTCACTACATCGTCAATTTCTTTCACCTGAGGCTATACTTTTCATACCTATGACTATGGTAGACACCGGGCGACAAGTAATTATGGAATATGTGTGAAAGGGGAAACAGATTTTTACGGGATCTTGCAGGAGATATGTGAAGTTCGATTCCCGGGTATGGGTTTGAAATGCGTTATCTTCAAGTGTGAGTGGTACGACCCCGTCGTAAACAGAGGTGTTTGGATTAACAAGAACGGTGTAGTTGATGTCTACGGTGGATGAAGGTACAACAAATTTTTTTTTTTTAATATCCAGGTTTCCAGTATTAATTAATTTTTACATATTGATCTTTATTTTCGTAGGTACAACAAGTTCGAGCCTTTCATATTAGCTTCCCAAGCAGATCGAGTTTGCTTCATTCCATACCCTCGGATAACTACCTCGGAATAAACTGGTTAGCTGTTATCAAAGTTACACCTCGAGGACGAATAATCGCTGGAGAAGAACCACCATTACAAGAAGAAAACACCAATGAGATCGAGGAAGCTGAGGCAGAAATTGATGAGTTCCTACTTATTGATCCGCATAATCGTGAATACGAAGCTGTTCCTGATCACTCCACGGACGAAGGTGTAGACGACGAGTTTTTAGAAAATGATGATGTCTCAACCGATTACGACAATGTATCCGAATCAATTATGTATGTTTATAAGTTTGTTTAATCACAAAAATGAATTTTAATTATATATGTTTTAAGTTTGTTTAATCACAAAATCAATTTGCATTATGGGTTTGGGGTTTATGTGTAGAGGAGGTTAGGAGTTTGGTTGTACAATGTATCCGAATGAATTATGTATGTTTATAAGTTAAGGAAGTTGTGGTTTGGGGTTTGGGGTTTGGGGTTTCGAGTTTAGGGATTTATAAACCCTTTCCTCGTAAAGCCCTAGTAATAGAAAACACGGGCATATCCGTTTCCTCGTAATGTTCTAGTAACGTATTACTAGGGCTTTACGACGAAAAAAACGCGGGCATAGCTATTTCCTCCTAAAGAGTTTTCCTCGTAATGCCCTAGTACCGTCATTACGAGGACCTTACGAGGAAATAAAAACACGGGCATAGTTATTTCCTCGTAAGGTCCTAGTAACGTTACTAGGGCTTTACGAGGAAACAAAATTCCTTATATATACTCGAGCAATCCGGTTTCTCATTTTCTAGTAAGATTCTCTCTGAATCCTCTAAAGGTTCTCTCTAATTCGTAGTTAGGTGATTAGATTAGGGAATTTAGATTAGGTGGTTAGTTTAGGGAATTTCGATTAGGTGGTTAGTTTAGGTAATTTAGATTATGTGGTTAGTTTAGGTAATTTAGATTATGTTGGTTTACTTTTTTTTACTGTTTTTTTTTTTTTGAATTATACGAGAATTAATGTTTTGATTTTTTTTTTTTTAATATAGATGCCTAGAAAGAGCAAGCTTGCTAGGGCTGCTGGTAAGAGGACGTCGTCTCTCGAGGGGAGTCACTACGGAGATATTTTTGGGCGTCAGGATGCTCCGGGTTCATCTTCGTCAGCTCCCGGTTCATCTTCGATTCCTGAGACTCAGAGAGCTTCTACAGCGTCCCGGCAACCACCTCCTCCTCCACCACTACCTCCTCCTCCTCCACCGGTCGGGGTTCATCCCGATTTGCAGGTGCCGCCGAACGCACCCTTTGCGGTGTACACGGTGGAGGATATTTTCGTCCTTCCAGGCAAAGAAGGGCTGGCAGAGTTAGATCCTATCCGACGGGACGGCCAAAACGTATTATGGTATGTTTTAACTTTTAAAAAGTTTTTTTTTAATTTATTTCTTAATTAACAAAATAATTACAAATTAATCTAATTAATGATTTATTTTGTGTCTTTCCAGGTTTTGTCTTGACAGTTGTGTCAGAATTAGCGTCACGGACTGTATCAAGGGATACTTTCCCGATGCAGCTCCAAACTGGAAGATGACGGCGAGCCACACAAAAAAAGACGTGGTTCAAATCGTTTGCTGTAAGTTTAATGACTTAATTTATTTTTAATTATTTAAAATTATTAATATTATTGAACTAATCCGTCTCTTATTTTTTCTGGTTACAACAAAAATATCGTTGGTCTATAGGGATTCACCAGCGGGTGAAGAAGGAGTTTGAGGCCAAGGCAAGAGCACGATTGCTCGACATGGTCTACAACTGGAAGGGCGACTATCAGGTATAGATTTATAAATTATAATATATATATATATATATATATAGTTTTAAAAATATTATTGACTTTAATTCTAATTTTTTTAAATCAGGTGGATGGTTACGAGGACGGGAAACCCGATTGCCTCACAACCACGGTGTGGGATGGCCTCATCAGCTATTGGGGGTTGCCAGACTCGGTCAGAACCTCCCACACAAACTCCGAGAACCGCATGACCAGAGACGAGCATGGCAACACGAAGATGCTTCACACCACGGGTCGAAAACCTCACGGGGGAGTTCGTCTAGACATGGTAAGATGATTTTTAAAAACTATTTATTTTTTATTTTATTTGAATATTCCAAATTAATATTTAATTTTAAAAATTACTTTTAGGTTAAAGAGACATGAGTTCTTCCATCTCTGAAAGACCTTTACGAGAGGACCCACCGGAACAAGGCTGGGAAGTTTGTAGATCCTGCTTCCGAGCGGATCTACAACGAGATTGTTGCCCGAGTTGACGAACGCCAGACCCAGCTGACTCAGCAGACTGGGACTCCAGTCATATTATCCACTCTTGAAGTGGATAAGATTTACGAGGAGGTAAATAATTTGTTTTACTATTAATTTTTATTATTTATTTTAATTTTTTCTTAACGTTATTAATATTTTTATTTACAGGTCGCCCCTAGGAAAAAGGGAGTATCGTTGGGATTGGCTCGGTTAACGATGTCCCTGCAGCGACATTGTCTTATCATCAGGAGCAGCACGATGTCAATGTTCAGCTACGCTCGGAGTTGGCTTCGCTCACCGAGCATGTGACTTCTCTCACCGATGTCCTCGACATTTTGGCGGTTGGAAACCCGCAATTGGAGGAGATGTTGCGTGAGAGATGGGAATGCGGAGGGATTCCAACCCAACAGCATCCACCATCACAGTCACAGCCCGCAACCAACTTTGGAGAGAAGCAGGATTTCCCGAGCCAGGATGAGTTCGTTCGGTAATTTCACGACCAGCATCCGTAGTTTTTTTAATTTTTAATTGTATATTATGAATTTTAAAACTTAATTGTATATTATTTAGTTATTTATAAAATATTTTGTTTTTTTATTTTTTATTTATAATTTGCTTTTTTATTTTTAAAAAATAAATTATTTATATTTATAATTAACTTTTTTTAATAGGGAAAAAAATATTTCGAAGCAAAATCCTCGTAATGGTTTCCAAGTAATGTCCTCGTAACTAGTTCTAGTAAGTTCCTCGTAAAGTATTACTACGAGCTTACGAGGAAAAGCTTACCACGAGCTTACGAGGAAATGCTATGAGGACCTTACGAGGAAAATCTAACCACGCCTTTACGAGGAAATGTTTCCTCGTAAATTTGTTAGGACCTTACGAGGAAAAAGGCTTTACGATTTTTCTTGTAGTGAAAGGTCGGAAGAAGAATCCACCAAAGAGGAAGACGTCAGTTTATGAATCTCTTACAAAAGGAAAAAAAGTTTCAAGACACTTGACGGTGATTCGTTGTTATCGATGTAGTATGGAAGGGCATATTGCTCCCTTATGTACGCAAATGGGAGCCCCTAACAGGCCGAGAAAGATCTATCCAAGGAAGAAACAACAGCCTTCACAAAGAGAGACAATGTCAGTTGACCCTGGTGAAGCTCCGAGACCAAGTCAACCAACACAAACAGAAAACTAACTTTCAGGTTTGCTCTCTTACTTAGATTTCACGCATCATTGAACTTGTAATAATAAGAATTTTCCTTTTCTTTTCAGGTTCTCTTGTGATATGTATTATTCTCGGCTTCTTTTTGTATTGTTTTTTCAAGAACGAGGCTACCTAGATACGACGTTGGTTTTTGGTATTTTAGCTGTGCTTGCGGTTGTTGTTTTAGATGTTTCTACTCGGCTAAGTCATGACTATGTTGGTTTTTCTTGTTTTAGATGTTTCTCGGGTTGTGACATAATCTAATCTCTTCTCTAAAACTTCTATATCTCTTTTGTAAAACTTATTATGTTATGAAAATATTGTGTTTCAAAACATGTGTGATCTTATGTTCTTGTTAACTTTTTGTGTTATAACAAAACCACATTCTTAACATAAAACATATTCATCACAAAATTCAAATTCATAACATAATCCAAATTCTTAATACAAGCCGTTATACCCTTAAAAAACAACAATTCTACAAACATATCATGTTCGAAACTGAATAAACATGTGGTAGTAATCTACCACATTATTACATAGAAAAATAGTTGTACATTAACATCATTCCAACTCCACAAACTGCTATCTTCTTCAAGCTCTTCACATCTCTCTCATATCCTAGAACCAATTCTTTCATCTCCTTCTCCAATCCAGCTAAAACATCACCCAAATCTTCAATCTTTTTTTCATAGCTTCTTATTACATCTTCACATCTCTGAGACTGAACCTCCAAATGACCGATTTTTTGATCAAACAAGCTTTTAATATCATGAATTTCCTCAACAGCAGCTTCATCCGTCCATTTAAACAAATGCTTCTTATCCTACAGAAAAAAAAATCCTTCACTATAGTTAAACCGAACCCAGTCAAATCGATTTGTGAATTATCCTAGAACAGACACAAAAAATTAACTAAGTCCAATTTCTTACCTCTTCACTGCCATTACGGCAACCATGGAAAAGTCTTCCTGGGTTTTTCTAGGTTTTAGAGGTAAAAATCTCAGCAGCTTCACCACACTTCCTACAAAACCTTGGAAACCCTCTTTCCTTTTCAACCCTACGGTGACTCTAATTTTTGCTCATCGCTGTTCAGTTATCACACAATTAACCAGTCTAAATATACACTAAAACTTGATTGGAGACAAAATTGATTGTATTTACCTGTACCATACGAGGAATTAGGGTTAGATGAACTCGACATTAGCGCTTTTGGTGCTCGATCTAGTATCTTCCTCTCTCTCTCTCTCTCTCTCTCTCTCTCTCTCTCTCTCTCTCGAAGCTCTGTTCTTTTCTATTGTCGCGACCTAAACGAGGAAGACAGATTTTGTTTCTCAAAAAAAACAAAACGATGTCGTTTATTTAAGACCAAAACGACGTCGTTCTATGTTAAACTTGGTCTAATCTGCCCCGTAACATCCACGTAATATACCTATTAATCCACATAATCACCCATTAAGTCCACCTAAGCTACCGTTATAATTTGACTAACGGTAAGACGGTCAATGTATGAATTAACCTAAAATTATAGTTGATGTATGAAATTTAAAAAAACGGTGAGTTGATGTATGTTTTAGCACAGCTATAGAGTTGATGTACTGATTGGGACCGCGGTCCTCTGTTGATGTATGAATTGGCGGTTATCCCCAACATGGGAAAAGCATTGGCTCCACTGAAAGAGGAAGGTGTTCTCATCATCAGCTCTGGAAGTGCTACTCATAACCCGAGGAAGCGTGGCACTAACGTATTTACTGACCCATCCGTTTCTTTGGGCTTTAGAGTTTGATCATTGGCTCAGAGATTCCCTCATTGAAGGAAGGTAGAAGCTAGAAACGATTGCTACAAGATACAAAAAAATATATTTTTTTCTCTGATTAATCTGACAAAACTCATTGACTGTTTTACCTTTGTTGCAGATATGGAGATGTAAATGAGTGGGAATAGAAAGCTCCAAACCCAAGAATGGCGCATCCATGGCCTGAGCATTTGTACCCATTACACATTGCAATGGGAGCAGCAAATGATGATGTAAAGGTAGAGCAAATTCACACAAGTTGGACAAGTACTTTGTCTTATTCTTCTTATAGATTCACTTCTTCCCTTTGAAACGTTTCCATCTCCATTTTTTTTGATATGTCTCTTCTTTAACGCAAGCTTTGAGTATTTTATCTCTGTAATAATCCTTATCCTGTTTAGTCAAAAAAAAACATCTTTATCCTGTCTTGTATACAATGGGGTTGCTTTGAACACAAAATTGGAATATATATTCTGCTACAATTGCTCGTCTTGTAAGTTCAAATTTGCCACTTTTTTCTCAATACAAAACTTTTTAAATGGTGTTTTCTTTTGAAAAAAATTACATCTAAAGACATTTTTTTGTCTTTTTTATTTCACTAATAAACACTTCTTATATGTCACAAAGTTCTTATGTATTGATAGTCTATATGCTCTTATAGTATATGGTTCCTTTAGTTACTTCCATTTTCTATTAAGTTGTTGGTTCTCTCTCTCTCTTTTTTTAAATTGTTTTATCTTATGAATTAAAAAAAACGTAAAACCAAAACACTTTTCCAATTATGTCTTTCTATCTCTAACCCCCACTTGAACTCCATTCTCAAATCTTGATTCTTCTAAATTTCTCGACTAAGAGTTACAATAATTCATCTTCAGATCGTGGTCCCCTCAACATCTTGTTGATCCGTCAAACATCGGACCGTGTTCCTTACCGCAACAGAACAGAGGAACTAGGTGAGTTTCTCGATCTGTCTTTTTTTTTGTGAAAGCTTTGCAATCCATAGCCAAGATAACGAGATACGAAATCAATTCCAGAAACTTATCTGAAAGTTTCATAGACAATATCCTATAGTCGTCCATGAAATTATTGCAGGCGAAGTACAGCAATTTAGAAGAACAAGATGACTATAATACGATTTTTCCATTATTGTAGAAACAAAAAAAAAACTGCAAAAATAACAAATCAGTTAAACATTGTGTAACACCCCCAGACCTAGATAAGTCCTGCGGGACGGGCCATGGTTCGAGGGAACGAACCAGTCAGGTCATGTGACCTAAAGACAAGAGTTCCATGGCCTAAAGGAAAGGTTAAGTGCATTAGGAAGCTAAGAATTAACCAAATAAGGAATGATACAAGTATAAACCAGCTGTACGAGTGATATGGCAGCTTGGTGAAGTGTTCGGAAGCTCAGTCAGCTAAACAAGCTAAGACTCAGCTCGGGCCAGCTCACACTAAGTAGAGTCAGCTCCCTGAGCTGGACTACTAGCTCACTCAGCTGGACCAGCTGGGAATCAGCTCATCTCAGCTGGACAGAGTGTTAGAGTCTTGGGCAGTTGGACCGGTCCGGGCCAGGGTTGGGTCAGCCGGTTGGGTCTTAGGGTCCAGCCATTGAGCTGATGGCTTGGGTAGTCCATAGGCACGGTCCTTGGACTGTAGGAAGGGCCCAGGCCCATGTATGATCTGCCAGAGGGTAGTTATAGGCGAATGGATGCAAGTGGTAAAGGCAATAGGAGAAGGGATGCGATGGGGCCAAAAGGTGCCCGTTCGCCTACCAAATGGTATACTTTTGGCCTGGGCAGTTACCCACGCCTTCTTCTATATATAGAGGACCCTGGGAACAATAATAATCATCAGAATTCATTAAAAAAAAGTCAGATAAAAATCGTGAGACAGAGAGAAAGAAAGAGAGAGAGAGTAATCGATCCAAAAGGGTCGATATTGTGAAGATTACATCACGGCAAGGCTAAGATCGTTTGTGGAGAGGCAAGGCCGTGTGGGATGGATCCCAGAGACAAGGAGAAAGGTGTGGAAGAGGGCGCCAAGTCCCCAGAACGTGCAAGCAAGGTTAGTGACATGATCATCAACCCATTGCCAAGACCATCAGATGAACCGGTGCTGTCTAAGGCCATGGCCGAGTGTTTATGTCCATCTCTCTTATCTATTTTGATTATTACTTTAATTGTTCTTCTTCCACTTTCTATTTTGAGGTTTATATGAGTGGGATATGGTGTCGGAATGGCTTGGTTAACCCTGGTCATAACCATATAAGGCCATACTCTCAAAACATGACCATGTACCGAAACTGCTATGATCCGTTTGATGAAGGCTTGAAGATCGGTTTGGTCTGGGTAACATTCCACATGTATGAACACTATTTGGACTCAGATGAGTTTCTAATGGGCCAAGGCTTGGGCCGGCCCAAATGAGAGCATTCAGGTCCAATGGGCCATTCATGCGGATGGACGAATCGATTGTTTGGTCGGTTCAGTTGTATTGCGGTTTAAAGAGAAGACTTCTCAATGGTTACTTGGTCTGTGGGGATGGTTGGTTGAATGACTAAGTTTCATGGGATTTTTTTATGCAGGTACAAGGCTGAGGACCAATTGGAGGAACCGACCAGGCCGTGCACCCAGCCGTGTGATCACTGCGGATCACGGATGGTCCGGTTTGTGGTTTATGTGTATTGCGGTTGTACTTTGGGTTGTAACAAGTTATGGCCGGGTAATATACATGTTATAAGATAGATGTATAATTTTTTAGACTTAGGAATGGAACCATGCCTTGCTAGATCAATTGTTAGGATATCGGTTTGTCTTAATACTTGTTGCTGTGTGGTTTCAAGAACTGAGGCTGATCGTGATCAAGCCAAGGAGCCATGAAGACTTTGTCAGTGAGAAGTTATGTGGTGTTTGGTAGTTTATACTAGGGATGAACTTATGATAGCTTATGATGCAACTAGATACTTTGTAAACGAATCTCAATTCTTTTATTAATACAAAACGATTTACCCTTTGTTTGTACTTGTTGTTTGAATTGTTTATATGCATGTATACAATGAAATGACTAAGTAAAATATACAAGACTGAAAATGAAACAAGTACAATTTAATGGGCGAAGTGTGAGGCCGTGGGTCCAAGGAGGTCTTGAACCTCAGGAACGGGTCTTACAAGTTGTTTGAAGGAAAAGATCAAGCTCGTATAGAGCAAGATGAGGGAGGCACAAGATCGACAAAAGTGTTGGTGTCGAAAACCGTACTCTCGAAATCAACATCTGCGATAGCTTCTGTAAAAGGGAGATCATTACTTTCCGCAAAAGTGATTTTATAAAACTCGAGAATCGTTTTATAAAACTCGAGAATCGTTTTATAAAACTCGAGAATCGTTTTATAAAACTCGAGAATCGTTTTATAAAACTCGAGAATCGTTTTATAAAACTCGAGAACCATTTTATAAAACTCGAGAATCGTTTTACAAAATCGCAAAAAACCGAAAAAGCCATAAACGCGAACTAGTCACGACTAGTTCGCCCATCGGCGATCTAAGCCGGTCCCGGCTTAGATCGCCGATGGGCGAACTAAGGACACTCCTCTAGTACGCCCATCGGTGATCTAAGCCGGTCCCGGCTTAGATCGCCGATGGGCGAACTAAAAATTATCCCACTAGTTCGCCCATCGGCGAACTAAAAACTTCCCGAACACTCCGCGTCTCGATTTCCCGCATTCCCGATTCGAAACTTACGTCTTTCGACAAGGTCGCGTTCTAAACCACGGCCGAAATATCTCTCGTTCCATCTCGATCCGACTTACCATTTGAGTTTTACGATAAAAACCGTAAAACTTCGTTTTCTCGGAAAGAACTCGAGGAAATCGTATAAAACGGCAACGGTTAAACGAAACACCGAACATTGCCTAAACTATACGATTTATTCGAGATTTCTCGTCGAAATCATAAAAACGCGCTTTTAATAAAAATACGCCGAGTAAGTCGTAAAAAACGTGTTTTTAATAAAAAGTCGAGTAAATCATAAAACTTTGCGATTAACTCGAGAAACTTATTAAAACGACGTCAGATCAGGAAACGATCCCGTAAAAGTCGGAAAACGATTTTTATCGCAAAACGGCCTGGAAGGATCTAAAACGCGATAAAAACCCATCTCGCGATTTTAACTGAATCTAACCCGCAGATTTGATAACGTTTTGATGGTTTACTCGCGGAAGGAAAATAAAAGTCAAGATTAAAGATAAAAGGAAGGTTTGAAGAGAAATAGAAGATTTCCGCAGAAGAAAAGAAAGGATCGAGAAGAATGGAAAATTCCCGATTTAGTCAAATCTGGGAGAAATGGAAAGATCGGATAGCCAAGACGAGGAGTATATAAAGAGGAAGTCTAGAGAAGAAGCACACACGAGATCAGACCTAGAAGAGACGGCTGCTAGCTTAGAATTTAGGACTTAGCGTTTTGACTAGCAATTCAGATCCTTAGAACGTTTTTACGTCTAAGTTCTTCAATTCTACTTGTAACAGTTGTCGATTCTTATTCAATAAAAGCTTTCTTACGATTTCTTATCTCTTTATTCTTTGTTGTTCATCCATATTCCTCTAAATTCGTTTGTTTTAGTGATTTCCGCAGAGATCCGGGACCTCAGGAGAATTAGGGTTTCGCCCTAAGTTTCCATATTTGACNACGTTTTTACGTCTAAGTTCTTCAATTCTACTTGTAACAGTTGTCGATTCTTATTCAATAAAAGCTTTCTTACGATTTCTTATCTCTTTATTCTTTGTTGTTCATCCATATTCCTCTAAATTCGTTTGTTTTAGTGATTTCCGCAGAGATCCGGGACCTCAGGAGAATTAGGGTTTCGCCCTAAGTTTCCATATTTGACAGAAAATCGACAGTGTGAATTTTGGTTCCCACAGTTTGGCGCTAGAAGGAGGGGGGGTCGGATTCTCTTACACAATAGTCGCTAAAACGAACGATGAATAACATGCCTAATCTGAACGGCGACGTCATCTCGTTCGAGAAAAGAGCAACGATCGATTCGGTCAAACCTCTCAACGATCTTCTAGTTATTGAGCTAACGATCCAGGATATGGATGTCGCGAGAATATTAGTCGATACCGGAAGCTCGGCTGATATCATCTTCAAAAATACTCTCGAGAGAATGAAAATCGATCTATCTGAAATCGCGGAAAACGTAAGCCCGCTAGTAGGACTCTCGGAAGAAATCACTATGACCCTCGGAACGATCAACTTGGCAGTTCGTGCCGGGAGCATATAGAAAAACGTCGAGTTCGAAGTCGTCGATCGACCTATG